GCAAGACCCAGTCTCTACATTTTTTTTTTAATTAGCTGTGTGTAGGGGCTTGCACCTATAGTCCCAGCTACTCAGGAGGCTGATGTGGGAGGACTGTCTTGAGCCTGGGAGCCTGAGGTTACAAAGAGCTATAATCACACTACTGTACTCTAGCCTGGGTGACAGGGCAAGGCTCTGTCTCTAAAATATAAACAACTAAGTATTTAAAAATAAATAAACAAATAGCAAAACAGTACATAGTACTACCTCATTTACTTGTTTGAACATCTAAAAAAATACAGACCAGTTATTAAAAGTGAGTATTTCTGGAGAATGAGACTGGGAAAGGGGCTAATTGAATGGTTTAACTTTATAATGAGTCAAATGACTATATAATGATATGACGATCATCATTTAAAAATATATGGATTTTTAAAAGACGCAGATTACTGAGAACACTGGGCCATTTTCCCATAATTACTTAAATATTTACAGGGTAACTAATTTTTATCATTAAGGTTACAGCATACACCAAGGTGTTAGGCTTGAATTTTTAAAGCCTTTATGAACTATTTATATGAGATTTATCTATTAAATGAACACTCTAATAATATTTATTTCTGTTTTTCAGAAAATTGAAGCTTTTGGCACAGATCAGGTGGTGGTAAACTATGGCCTGTGGGCTACCTACTTGTTTTATAAGTAGTTTTACTGGAATACAGCCATGCCCAGTAAGTTATGTGTTGTCTATAGCTGCTCTCACACTGCGCTGGCAGAGTGCAGTTGTGATGACATGGCTGCAAGCCTAAAATTTTTATCAACAGTCTCTATTAAAAATAGTTTGCTGGTGCCCACAGTAGATTTTAAATATTTTCTCAGAGAAGATTTTGTGTTTTCACTTTGGAATTAAATATTTGAATCAGGATAATCAAGAGATAGATTGGGATTTAAATTTTCAGATATTTTAAAATTATAATAATCTATTCAAAAACTCATATATTGGCTTAAGTTATAAATATATTTATCCAAGTTTAATAACTAGTACAAAATATTTCTTTTATGGTTAAGTATGCAAAAGAAATCTTTTCGATAGGTATATAACAATGAATATTTTATACTTCTGTCACAAAATTTTTCATGTTAACTAAAATAATAAAACAGAATGACAACAAAAAGTTATTCTTACCTGTAACCTAAACCAATCTAATCTCATTCCTCTGAAATCAAATACTTCCCCATCTTCAACTGTAGTAACAGAAAAAAAAAAATTATAAAGCAAATTAATATTTTCACAAATCTATAAGAACATTTTAAATTTTAAGAGCTAAGACAATTCTACTTCTGAGTATAAAGAATTAAAGCCAGGGTCTTAAAGAGATATCTGTATACCCATGCTCATAGAAAAATTATTCAAAATAGTCAAAGGTAGAAGCAACTTAAGTTTCCACTGACAAATGAATGAATAAACAAAATGTAGCATCTAAATACAATGGAGGCCAGGTGCAGAGGCTCATGCCCATATTCTCAACACTTTGGGAGGCCAAGGCAGGTGGATCACCTAAGGTCAGGAGTTAGAGACTAGACTGGCAAACATGGCGAAAGTCCGTCTCTACTAAAAATACAAAAATTAGCTGAGTATGGTGGTATGTGCCTGTAGTCCCAGCTACTTGGGAGACTGAGGCAGAAGAATCACTTGAACCCTGGAGGTGGAGGTTACAGTGAGCAGAGATTAAACCACTGCACTCCAGTCTGGGAAACAGAGCAAGACTCGGTCTCAAAAAATAAAATAAAATAAATAAATATCATGGACTATCATTCTGCCTAAAAAAGGAAGGAAATTCTGACACATGCTACTATGGCTGAACTTGAGGACATCATACCTAGTGAAATTAACGAGTCACAGAAAGACAAATACTCTGTGATTCCACTTAAATAAGGTATCAAGAGTAGTCATGCTTATAGAAACAGAAAGCAGAATGGAGGTTGCAGGGAGCTAGCAGGAAAGGGAAATGGGGTGTTGTTCAACAACCATTAAAAGAATTTGTTTTGCAAGATGAAAATGTTTTGGAGATTCGTTGTACAACAATATGAATATACGTAACACTACTGAACTATACACTCAAAAATGGTTAAGATGGTCAATTTTATGTGTATTTTACAATTAAATAATAATAACATTTTAAAATGTAAGAGTGAAGACAGTGAAACAATTCTCAAATCCTGTAAAGATGATGATAAAGTGTGCTAAGGAAGTAAAGGCTTCTCTCCTAAGCTCTCTGATTCTCAGTGTGCTTACACGTCAATTTGAAGGAGGCAGAAAAGAATTTGAGAGAGCCTATGAATAGAAACTTTGGACAGCATGCAAAATAACTATATATAAACAAAATAACTCTATATAACAAAATAACTCTATATAAACAAAATATTCAACAAAGTAACTCTATATAAACCAAATATGACCAGACAAAATTATTGTAGTTTCATTACTTAAATGTGGTAGCTATACAGATTGAACTAAGAAAACTGTTTATATATTTATTGCTCACAAGTTTTCAAGGTTTCTGATATCTCTTATTAGAAGACTAAAAACTAAAACATACTATCAATCCACTAGAATGGAGTATTCAAATAATGGCAAGGTGATTGATTACACGACATCAATTTTTTAGATTGACAGATTTGAGCTCAAATTCCTAATCTTGCTTAATAGCTATTAGTGCTTGGCAAATTATGTTCAGTAACTGAGAGGCTAATCCTCAAATCCAGAGATTCCAATCTGTCAAAAGTAATAATAGTGTTTAAAAAGGAATGTGGCGTTAATGGGATAATAAACATATAAAGTGCCTGGCACAGACTAAATAGTTTATAAACGGCATTAAATATTGTTATTGGTGTGCCTGGATCAAATATATGACTTACTACAAAATGCAGTCCTTCCTGCTTAATAATTAGAAATATCAAACTATAATTTTTGTAAATAGCATCACAAACGCATTTTGGAAATCTTTGCTTCAGAGAACAATATTAAGACAAAAGATAACAGATCATTAGCCAAATTAATTGGTAAATTCTCTCCTTAATAATCAAGTTTGAAAATCTAATTAGAAGAAAATATGCTTTTATTTAAAAGACTTATTACCTTGTTTTACACTTAGGGAAGTCATAGTGTTAACAAAAGAGGACATGATGATTGATTCATCTTCAGGGCAAACAGAAAGATTCTGAAAAACAAACACAAAGTAATATTAAAAACATCTAGTTGGGAAACAACTCAGGTCTATCAATTAGTGGACTGATAAGCTGGTATATCCATACTATGGAGTATCTTTCAGTAATAAAAAGAAATAAAATTTTAACGTACACCGTAACATGAATCTCAAATAGGTTAAGTGAAAGAAATAAAGATTATGTGTAAAAAAGTGCTTTTTTTATACACTATATAGGAAAATTTATATGAAAAAATATTTTTTAAGGCAAAAGGATAGTGACAAATACCACTTGCTGTCAAGGGCTTAGCAAAAAATGAAGGTGTGCCATAAGCAAACTTTTAAAGGTATTGGAAAAGTTGTCTTGAATGTGGTGTTGGTAGTAATTGCACAAACGTACACAGCTACCAAAATTTACAACATGCACTAAAAATGAGTGTTTTTTGTTGTGTTTATGTTAGCCCTCAACAAAATTAAGACCTAAAAACCCTTCAACCTGGCTAAAAAAAATGAATATTTGATAAACTGTAACTAAAGTGCATGTTAAAAATAAATTCCTTTAAAGACAAATAAGAAAAAGCAAGAAAAAATAATAATAAATTCCTTTTAAAAAGTGGATGCTTAGCTTACAAACAGCATAAATAAAACACATTTTCAAAACATTATGATGTGAATGTACATATCATTAAACATATTTCACTTAAAAATCATGACAATAGTAAATATTGTTACATACATTTTACCACAATAAAATATTAATGCCTATTGTAATCAACTCTGCTAACAGGTTTACAACTTTAGTTCTAAATTTATATGCTAGCAAATGGTGAAAAACATTGTGAATATACTTTGCAACAGAATAGGGTGGTAAAATGCTCAGGCTTTGGAGTTAAAACTTAGGTTTGACTACTGGCTTTATTACTTATGAGCGTGTGATACTGAGCAAATTACATAAGGCATTTCTTCTTCAACAAATAATGATAATTATATCCACTCTTGCAGAAGTATTTTACAGATTTGCTAAGATACACTATCAATAAATCTGGCAATTACTAGTATCAGTATTATTATTGCCTATGATACTATACTATTACTATAATCTCAGAAGAAATGCTTAGAAATAATTTTCTCAGTACTAGTACACTCTACTTTATATGAAAATGGATTAAGTGACTCAGGAATTCTGGTTTACTTTTTAAACTGTATGCTAGTATGAATAAATAATAAACAGTAACAAAAGCTTCTGGTTTATCTGTTAATAACTATTCAAATAAAATTATAGTAAGGCAATAATACTATACTTAATGACCACAGAAAGGAAGTATCTGAGCTCCATCTAGTGGATAAAAGAAGAAATAACCTACATAGTTTATAATAACATCCTGTAACAATACATATATAATTCAAGGTAAAAAAATTATATAAACAATTTCTTTCCTGATCTATATTTTTAGGTTGATTTGAAAAAAAGGAGAACTTCACAGTATTGTTATTTAACTGGAAAACTAGCAGCTTTAGAGTAGTCTTTATATAAAGAGGATTATTAGCTGTTCTTTCTTTACACCATGTATTAGCTTAGAGTCATTTGAATCATGTAATTTTATAAAGTGAAGGAAAATAAAATACTATTTCCTGAGGGTCAGTTTATTTGGAATAAAATTTTTAAAATTTAAATAAAGATGAAGAAGACTGAATAAATAAATTACGGAAAGCAAAACAAAGGCTAACAAACCAATTAAGGATAAAAATTTACATTTAAATTAGAACATCTATATAAAATCTTTATTTACTGCCCATCCTCTAACAATTTTCTTCAAAAAGATTTTTATTCCACTTTCCCTCTAATACTTAATTACCAATTATATTGTCTCTATCATGTCTTCTGTATCTCCATAGCTGCTGCCCAAGTGTCGGCTTTCATCACCTTTCACCTAGCCTACTGCAGTCACTTTTCTTTTCGTCTCTCTGCCTCTTCCCTTCGTTGCCAGTATCATCCACACTGAACCAGGGTGATCTTTCTAAGCAGTACAACTGATTCATGAATAACCTCCTCTTTCCCAAGGCCCTCTATAATTTGGTTAGTATATATCTCCACCTTCAGGATAAATAATCGTTTCCTTCCCTGTGTTCACTCTGAGCATTTTATATACAGCTAGTGCTCGACTTACGACCACGGTCAGGACCGCGGACCGGTCGTAACATGATTTGGTCATAAGTTGAGTAGGCTATATGTACAGTTGAAATGGTGCATGCGGAGATGGTAGTGCTGCCGGAAGCTGGTCCGCACTGTCGTACGCACAGCTGGGCAACGTTTGTGCTGCCAGACACGGAGCAGTCGTGGCTAGCAATTGTGGTCGTAAAGTCAAATGGTCGTAAGTTGCATAGGTGGTAAGTCGATCAATACCCGTACACTTAATGCCCAACACCTATCACACTGGACTACAATTGTTTCCTCCCTTCTAGGCAATGATCTCCTTGACAAAATATAAACATGATTTATCCACTGCTTGGCACATAATATTTTATAAATGCTTGTTGAACAAACAAATCAAATACTATCAACGGTGGGAGGGAAGGAACAAATATAAGATAGTTTTTACCTGCACAAGTTCATTGAGGACAACAGCATCAAAGCCAGAAAGGTACTGCACGTAATATCTTTGCATAACAGGTCCATATTTTCTCACATGTGCTCTAAGCTCTTCCATGTAAAATATTAATTCAGCAATGTGCCTTTTAAATTTCAAGAAAAAAATTTAAAATGATAAATTCATCATTATTAAAGAATATATTAGATACCCTTGATCTCATTTCTAAAAGGATTTTTTTTCTTACAAAGGGCATCAATATTTAGTGTCAATTATTTCCTTTTTAAATTATTTCATATGAATAAAGAAATCACAGAAAGCAAAGAAAAAAAAAAAAACTAAGGCTAAAAATGGATAGCAGAAAATCCAAACTGAAAATAAACAGGGCTGGGCACAGTGGCTCACAATTGTAATCATAGTACCTTGGGAGGCCAAGGTGGGCTGATCACTTGAGGTCAAGGGTTCAAGACCAGCCTGGCGAACATAGTAAAATCCTGTCTCTACTAAAATACAAAAATTAGCTGGGCATGGTGGTAGGTGCCTATAATCCCAGCTACTTGGGAGGCTGAGACAGGAGAATCACTTGAACTCAGGAGGCTGAGGTTTCAGTGAGCCGAGATGGCATCACTGCACTCCAGCCTGGGTGGCAGAGTAAAACTCCAACTCAAAAAATAAATAAATAAATAAATAAATTTAAAAAATAAACAGGATATCTTATAAATACATCAAAAAAATGTCAAAAGAGGATTAGCAAGAAACAAAATTTTTCTGTATGATCTTATTTCTCTGCTCCATTTTTTTAACTCCTATCGAGAGACTGAACTAAAATAAGACGAAGACATTTTAATGACACACTGAGTTTCAACTCTATAAACAGGATTTTTATTTAAATGTTTTGTGTAGCAAATAGTTTTGAAAAATGAATTCCATAAGAAATATTACTGAGCATAGCAAGAAAGCAAAAACTTTATCACCATGAAGCATACTACAAGAAAAAAGCCCTGATTTAAAACTAAAGTTGACTTTGCATTCTAATTAATATCATCTAATGATATATTACAAATATTCCAAGTTGTACAAAATAATTTTGCTTCAAATATAAGTCTCCAGATTCCAGAGCCCATAAATCAGAATACAGATGGTGCACAACTTACAATGGTTTGGACATACTATCTTTCTACTTTACAATGGTGCAAAAATGATACACATTTAGCACAAACTGTACTTTGAATTTTGGCTTTTATTCCCAGGCTAGCAATAGACAGTATGATATTCTATCATGATGCTGCCATAGTTCCCAGTCAACTATGTGATCAGAAAGATAGAAAACCAGTGTACTATGTTGCCAGATAAATTTGCCCAACTGTAGGCTAATAAAAGTATTCTGAGCACATTTAAGGTAGGCTAGGCTAAGCTCCAACATTCAGTAGATTAGGTGTACTAAATGCATTTCAACTTAACAATATTTTCAACTTTCACTGGGTTTATCAGGACATAATCCCATTGTAAATCAAGAAGCATCTATATAGAGAAAATAATTTTTTAAATGTTGCTAACTTACTTATCTATAAAGTCGTCTGCACTCTTCTTTGGCATATTATCTGCATGACGAAGTAGCCAGATAATTTCATCACGGGCAAAGGATAATGCCATAAAAACAAAAAGTGCCTGTTTTAAAAAAAATAAGTATTTATTCTTATTCAAAGATTAAAAACAAAACTGATTGACAATCTCTATGTGAAAAGTCATTGGCAAGACGTGATAATATCAATTCAAAAGAGAGAAGAGACTAACAGGAAAGGACAGGAGAAAACTTGTAAGTATGTATAAGGGAGAGCATGCATATAAGGGAGAAGAATGCAGGGAGGTATGATGTATGAATGTCAAGTCAGCAAATTCATTTTCCACTAAATATAAAAATCCATTTACATAGTCCCTGACTCAAATTTCAGGAAAATAGCATATAGAAATGTCTAAAATTTTAATATGGCACAATTACTGAAATAATCATTAAATGAATTACCTTGGGACCTAGCAAGCCAGGTTGATCAGAGAGGACAGTAGCCAATTCCTTCAGTGCAGATCTTAAAAACTTGCGTCTTTCTCTGTGCATTGAACCACTACAGGGAAAGACACCATCACAGTTTATCTGCTTCACTAAAATTATTATTGGCAATAAAGTAACTAGCATTTCAGGTTCAACTTCCAGAGTCCTTTTTTAGGAAGCAGATGCTCCTATAAAAATCATCTTCTATGTGTTTGTCATTAAATGAGTGTCTAGGGCCGGGCGCGGTGGCTCAAGCCTGTAATCCCAGCACTTTGGGAGGCCGAGGCAGGTGGATCATGAGGTCAAGAGATCGAGACCATCCTGGTCAATATGGTGAAACCCCGTCTCTACCAAAACTACAAAAAATTAGCTGGGCATGGTGGCGCGTGCCTGTAGTCCCAGCTACTCAGGAGGCTGAGGCAGGAGAATTGCTTGAACCCAGGAGGCGGAGGTTGCGGTGAGCCGAGATCGCGCCATTGCACTCCAGCCTGGGTAACAAGAGCGAAACTCCATCTCCAAAAAAAAAACAAACAAAAAAAAAGAGTGTCTAATCTTCCATTTATCCTTGCCTTTCTTGTGTTGCTTTTAAAATTCTGTTCCTTCTGTTATTCCCCATCTATCAAAATCCTAGCCAAACTTCAAGAACCATTTCCCAATATCCAGCTATTTATTTATGAATAATTTCTGCAATTTTAGTGCCATATAGCTTTAAGCACTTTATAGACTATGAAATCCTTGAAGGTGACCAGGCACAGTGGTTCATGCCTGTAATCCCAGCACTTTGGGAGGCCAAGTTGGGTGGACTGCCTGAGCTCAGGAGTTTGAGACCAGCCTGGGCAACACTGTAAAACCCCATCTCTACTAAAAATACAAAAAATTAGCCAGGTGTGGTGGTGGGTGCCTGTAATCTCAGCTACTGGGGAGGCTGAGGCAGGAGAATCACTTGAGCCCAGGAGGCGGAGGTTGCAGTGAGCTGAGATCATGCCACTACACTCCAGCCTAGGCAACAGAGCAAGACTCTGTTTCAAAAAAAAAAAAAAAAAATTCCTTGAAGGCTTGAAGGCAAGAACTGACTTACTGTATATATTTTTGTCACTTCCACATAGAAATTAATAAATAAAACTTAATAAATATCTAGTTATAATCTTATTAAGTATATTACTATTAAATATACAAAACTGAATACATAAGAGCTACAGTCAATAAAGGTATTGGGATGAGATCTATTTGGCACTCCTGTTCAAAAATAGAAAGATGAGGAAAGGAAGGAATAATCATAAATATTCATATACTAGGTATTTTTAAATTAAGATTAGAAAACTTTCTCACCTATTACCAGAAAGAAAAAAATCAGAAAATGTTCTAAGTATTACAACTCCTCATACTACGCAAAATACACACTGCTCGTGTGTGTGTGTATGAATGATGCATATGCTAAAAACCCAAGTATAAAGAATACCCAACACTAGTAATTTCACTGTGACACAGTAGATCAGTTTCAGAGGACTCCATTTAAAATCTATGCTCTCTCCACATGACCTTAGGTTCCAACTCTAAGTTTCAGCTTCTTGTCTAAAGAGTAAGTATGATGACACCTGTTCTCAAAAGATGCACAATCTTCCATGACGCCTGATATATAGTGCTTTCATGTTACTTTAATTTCAATGACAAGCTCTTTTTACTGACAATAGTAAAGTCATCGTGTCATTTCCAAAAAGAAAATGAGCAAATGTTATTTTGATTATTTTACTTCACAGGATTACTGTAAGCAGTCTGTGATGTTTATTGGAATATAATGTCTATAAAGCACTTGGGCCTGGCATGGTAATTAGTCCTAGAAGTTACTACTGCTTACTATAATTTAATAAACAGAAAGAAAATAACAATACCTTACTTGTAAAAGATCTTTACAAAAGATAGCTATGCCTATATATATTTATCTGCCTATAGTAGGGTCTATTCCATATAGAAATAATAATTACGTGCACTTCTGCAAGTCTAGAGAGGAATTCTAACAAACTTCAAAGTATGCTATTTGCATTAGAAATCATTTTCTTTTAAATTAAGCACATGTATTTCATTCAAGTCAATAAAATATGAATGATGAATGATATAGCAGAGATACAGCGAGTAAAGATGGTTTACATTCCCAATATCTATCTTATAGCCTAAACTTAAATTCTAAAATTTCTCGTAGTTTTACAGTTTTATCTATGGAGTGATGATTGTCTTCTCTCTGCCTTATATAGAAATATTGATAGATATATTCTTACTATATATTACCTAAGTTCATTGGAGAAAATATTCTACATTAAGTATATCATATACATAACAATTAAAGTGAAATATCAAATTATTTAGAATTATTTTATGAGAAAACTAGAAAGTTGTTCAAAGTCTTAAAATACACTAATTTCTCAGGACATCTATACATTTACTAACATAAGAAACTAAAATTGGGAAGAGTTGTCCTCTTAAAAGTAAATATTGGCTGGGCATGGTGGCTCACGCCTGTAATGCCGGCACTTTGGGAGGCTGAGGTGGGCTGATCACTTGAGGTCAGGAGTTCAAGACCAGCCTGGCCAACATGGTGAAAACCTATCTCTACTAAAAATACAAAAATTAGCTGGGCATGTGCAGCAGGTGCCTATAATCCCAGCTAGGCAGGAGGCTGAGGCAGGAGAATGGTTGAGCCCAGGAGGTAGAGACTACAGTGAGCTGAGATGGCATCACTGCACTCCAGCCTGGGTGCCAAAGCAAGAGTCAGTCTTAAAAGAAAAAAAAAAGTAAATTATTATCTGGAAGAGTTATAAGGATATATTGATTTTCATGTAGTAGTACAAAAATCATGTTGGTATGCAGACCATAGTGGCAGTGTGATTATTACCCAAAGTAAGAGTCCTTACTTATAAATAAGTGTAATACTTCCGTATAGCATTTTATCAATACTTCAAAATCA